GGGGGGGGGGGGGGAACCGATGTCGGGGCGGCCTGCAGTCTCCGTTAGAGTCTGTGCGCTCAGGGAAAGAGCGTCCCCCACATGCCGAACTCCCCATCTGACACAGAAATGATGCTTGCCGACTGTTTAATGAGTAGGACACACAGGTACGAGGCAGAGGCTGAGATGACACATATAATCTTTGCCAGCACGATTACAACAACAGATCCGCTCAAATACATACAAAGTTTATTAAAAATAGATTGCAAATGAGCTACAGTAGAAATGGGAAGTACAGCAGTTCTGGTGTTTCCACAGTGACGCACAGTCATGACCTCGTCACCCACGGGCGGCCAAACCCACCCGTTTCCAGGTTTACAACCACACACACACACACGTGCGCACACACACACACACACGCCCCTGCATGTAAGTATTTACATGTACGTGCGTGTACTTAGGCGTGTTTGTTTCTTTCTACAGATTAACGGAACAGTGACTCCTCTGCGTCTGCTTCATGACAGCAAGTGTGGATTTTGTCCCCGTGAGGCGGCCAGTGTTGTCGAGCTCTCCGGGAGGGGCCCGCTTCTCCTAGAGCTCTAAAGCAAGCGCATCCTTCATAAACACGTAGACCAGGTTACTCTCTTAAACGAGGGCAGCGGTGACAGCACACTTCCAGATAAGAACCCTGATAGACGTGAAAAATATTTACACTCGCGTTTCAATGATTTATCATACAGCGCCTATTAAAGTGATTTCTAAGGCTAAAAAGGCTCTCCTTCCTCTTCTGTTTGAAAGTGTGCACGTTTTTCTAACATACGCATTTTGTAAGAACAATCTGGTGCAGAAAAATCCTCAGGATCCCACAGCAGGGCCTTGTCAAATAGAAGCTTCGCTCATAATCCCCACGTAATTTACCATTTTCACATCACACAGTAGAAACCAGAGTGAGATCCGTGTCTGTATCGGCCACATGTTCACAGCTAAAGAAAGGACACTGGTCACAGTAACTCATCAAATGAAAGTTCAGTAACTATCAGATGTGAAAAAAAAAATATTTTCAACTGCCTCACAAGTCACTCTTACAGTATTTAAATCGTAGATGCCATGTCATTGGCCCTTCTTTCCCAGACAGGACATGGATGTCACTCTTTCTTCTCTGCATTTAAAATTTCTGAGCAATAGTTGTGCTCAAAGGTCACTACTGACCCCTGCCCCCCCCATCCCTCTCCAATATCTGTGTTTCTACCCACATCGACACTGCCCAGCTAAACAGATGCTCTTTTACAGATTCCCCTGAATATTTGAAATATTAACTTCCTAACGTCATTGCCATCTTCAAAATCACCAATGATTTATTAGCCTAACAATAATCTGACGTTTATAAAAATAAAATATCCTAAGCTTAAATCCTCAAAATTTTCTTCTTGGAGAATTTTTTAAAATCAACTATTTAGAATGTACTGGGAGGGCTGTCCCCGTATGAAGGAGAGGGGCAGGGTCTCCGATGGGCATCACCTCCCTCCCAGGAGGTGTGGGTCCGAGCCGCATCCTGACTGCACGGACAAGACTCAGCGAGCCCGGCCCACGAGAGCTCTGGACTCAACGCGCCGGGCGTGTCCTCCGTGCCCACCCTCCTCTGGGACATCTGCAGTTACTACGGAATAGTGCAAACAAGGTCTGGGGGTTCAGGCTACTCCCCGCCCCTTCCCTACAGTCCAGTCTGTGACACGGGACGGACGTGGCCTCTCGGCACCCCCTGGGGACAGCGGGGGAGACACCCCACTGCCCTCGCCTGTGCTGCACGCTCCCCCTTTCCAGCTTGGACTCTAGAAAAAGCAACAAAAAACGTATCTTCGGGTGAGTCAGATAATTAAGAAATTAGACAGTGTTTACATCGTATAAATGATAATCTCCTGGTAAAACAAAAGGGCTTCTTGGACTGGGACCGCCTCTAAATCCCACCCATCTTCCAAACAGCCCTTCTGTGACTTGGAAATGCCGCCGCCTCCTTCTCTCCCCCGACCATCCTCCAAAGCCGCACCGGGAGGACGCTGGGCTGAGCACGGGTGCCATTTCCTGGTGTCACTTTGTGTTCAGTTCGTTTTCCAGTTCTGTTAATTTACGAGAGGCTTTCACTTTATTGGACACATCTTGACCTTGTGAGAACAGCCGCTGGCGCTCTTTGAATGTCAAGTTCTCAGGGGCTCCGGAATTTCCAGGTAAATCTGCATCATGGCTGCGTCAGAGGGAAACGTAAGACATCACTGGTCAAGATGGAAATAACTTGTCAACAATTAGGTAACTTTACATAGCGGTTCAGTATTTCCTGAGGGAGACTCATTCTTTGTTAAACCAGCCAAGACCCTTCCTATAAATACAATCACTGGGGTTGTATTCAGACCTGTGTAAAAAAAGGGGCAGAATGCCCTCCTGCCTAAAATACTAACTTTCTCCCGACACATCCAACTCTCAAAACACCGGTAACTTCAGTTTTAGCAGGCAGGGGGTTCTTAATAGCCGAGTTGATCTAAAGAGGGCAGTTTAAAAGCACATAATTTTAACGAGCCCCACATGTACCCGACAGGCATCAGGATACCTAACTTAACACCAAGTTACAGGAAGACGCTGAAGATTTTCTCCGTCAGTTCCATTTCAGAGCTTTAAGAACTGTCTGGGCCAATTTGTTTCTACCACCCGGGTGAGAGCGCTCGGTGGAGACACTAAGCCTATTCGTGCCTTCTCGCTTCGCGGGTGGAAGCAAACAGCAGCACATCCGCTGCTTCTGAAGGTCTAGGAAGTTCTAGACTAGGAAGTCGGGTACGTACACCAGTGTCTGAAACAGAATTCTGTGAGCAACGTGAAACGAAGCAGCCAGCAGGCTCACACACTCGTGTACAATGAGGGACGCCTGAGGTGATCAAGTCTCTAAACTTGCGATCCAGCCTCATACAAGAACAGTGTGAGGAAGGCAGCGATCCTTCCGTGAAGCTGTTCACAGCCGTCAATACCTTTTCGCCAGCTTCTCTCTCGGGTCCCGGGAGCCGTCACGGGCACCGATCGCTGCCCCGGAAGATCCCACGGAAGAGTTTGGTCCTTTTCCATAAAAGAAAAAGTCGAAGTTAAAGTACCCGCATACTTCCCAAAACCTTAGCATCATCGAGATGCGGGGCCCACAGAAGAAGAGGAGGTCTTTACTGAGTGAAAAGCACAAGGTTCTTCAAACGAGACGGAAGATGCCTTGGTCTGCAGCCGGCTTCGCTCAGCGGCCTGCGAAACCCATCACTGCCCCGACAGGCGCTGTGACGGCACAGGTCTTAGGCGGCAGTGCCAGAAAGTTCAAACCAGGCAAGATGCAGTCGCCATGAGCTCAGAAGATGCGCTTCAGGGGGGAGGGAGTCACACAGGACAGTCCTGA